GGGCTCCCCATTGTGGGGGGAGAGAAGAGAGACTGAGCCCAAGCCATGGACCACCTGGAAGGTAGCCCCAGACCACTAGTGGTCCACAGGCAGCAGTTTAACAACCACTGCCTTAAGTAAAGAACTTATGCCTCATGGTACATTGGACACAGATATAGAGAACAGAAATTTGAGCTGCTGCTTTGGCCATGAATTTTTCAGCAAGGCTTGGGCCCCCATTGGAGAAGAGAGACTGAGCCCAAGCCATGGACCACCTGGAAGGTAGCCCCAGACCACTAGTGGTCCACAGGCAGCAGTTTAACAACCACTGCCTTAAGTAAAGAACTTATGCCTCATGGTACATTGGACACAGATATAGAGAACAGAAATTTGAGCTGCTGCTTTGGCCATGAATTTTTCAGCAAGGCTTGGGCCCCCATTGGACTGACATTCTAACTTTTCCTTAGATTATGCTGTGCTGAAAAATCCTTCTCTTGGGGTCATTAGTCAGCTCTCAGTTTAGTCTTCCAATAAAAATCCGAACATTACAATGTAGTGGCACAGCTGCAGTCATTGAAATAGCTTTGCCTATGTTGATTGAGTAGTCTAAGAGCAGGGAGAAGGAAAAGAACACAAGAAGGACTAGGCAGTCTCCATCAGGAGAAGCAGCTGGGAGGGGGAGTATCCGCAGATATACTTTTATTTTTATATCATTCTATTGCATACTTTCTATTGAGATCAGAAATCTTGTTTAGTCCAGATAGACAGAGAAGCAGACTGAAATTCCACCTACTCTATCATCCGCTGTGTCTCTGCCTTCTCACTTCTTTCCCACCTGCTGGAAAAAAATGAATATTACATAACCATTATAAATGTATGTACTAGAGGCAGATATAGTACATGATTTTGGTATCTTATAAAAAATGCAGTAAACTGAAAAACCTTTGCTCACTTTGCTCAGAGTTTTGAAAATGTAGACAGTGCTTGAGCTGTGTAAAGGATTATAGATTGCTGCTTACTGAGCCCATAAAACACACAATTTTTCTCATCTGTAAATGCCTACTTCACTGAGTGGCTGTCTAAATGGTATTTCTCTCATTGACAACTTCAGCTGCTAAGTGGATGGTTCTTTGCTTATGTCACACATGAATAGGCAAGTGCATCCAATGGAATAGCAAAATGGTTTGCGTGTCAAACCAGATGGGCTCTAATATTCTCTGAGGATTCCAGCATCTTGAAGAACACTGGCCAAAATCCCCTACTTTAATTTTCTTAATTTAGCTAGGAAATAAGGTTAATATGAACATAAGGGCTACATTTTTCATGGAAACAATTTTCTAAAGAACAAAAGCTTGTATATTACATGCAGGAGTATTTATTTCCCGATTTCAAGATTAGACAGAACACTTCTAGTGTAATACATGTGTTAGAACTTTTGGTCCTGACCAAGTTTGCCCCACATCAAATTTTGCATAGTAAAACAAGTTTTGCTCTATCCCCATCCTATTGAGGTTGAAGGATGATATCCATCTTCCTCATAGATAGTGTCTTTTCAATTTCTGTATTGGAGAGAATGTTGAATTCTTTAAGCATAACATTTTGAGGGGTTTTTTTTATGGTTTTGGAAGAGCTGCTTCTTCTTCTTCTTCCCTTTATCACATCATGAGTGGTTGGTCATTATGCAAACATCCACCATCTTTGTCTGTCTCAGGCGACAATAAGGTTTACCTGCTTATCATATTTTCTGATGTGATTCTTTTTTCCCCTTGGTTTTTCTTGGGGTATATCGTGTAGCATCCCTCCCTGACATTTAAACATCATCAGGTCCTTTTCATTCACCATTTTCTGAACCAGCAAAATTGGGCTATCTATAGGCATTGGACCTGCTATCTTTTTCATGTCCATGCTTCTGCCATGTACAGAATTGCAAAGTAGTTGGACTTTCAGTTTCAGTGGCATATGCTTATGACAAATAACTGCCGAGATGTTATTCCCCCCTCTGCCAGCAATCCTTAGTCTGGACTGCATCTCATGTTGAAGTTCACAATCTTTCATCATTCGTCCATCCATGTATTAAAATTGATCAGTCTACTTTAATCAAGCTCTATATCCAGTTTCCTTATGGCACATCTACTGATCTCCAAAGCCCCAAACTTACTCATGTTCATTTTCATCCCATGCCCATTTAGGTGGTCATACCCCAGGTTTCCTCTAGGACTTCTTTTGAGGGTGCCCTTATTGTTTTGTTGCCTGCCTGCAGCAGCTTCTTTTCTCCTTTTCCCACTGTGAAGTATAATAAACAGTGGCCCTGATGCAGTCTGACTTTCAGTTCAAAGCACTGGTCATCCAAAACATGTTCAGATCATTGCCTTAGGTCATCTATGTAGTGCATTTGTCATAGCTATTAAATCCTCAGAAACCCCATATTTTTTCAGCACTGGCAAGACCATCCTTCTTTTTGCTTTATCATATGCCTTTTTTCCTGAATTATAGAATTATAGAAGCCATCCTGATGGTTTTGTAACCATTCATCTATTACTGACAAATATGGCATCCATGATTCCTTATCCTTTCCTAAAGCTGGATTGCTTTTATTTGAGGAGGAGGTTCTACCAGTCTCCTAATCCTGACATCCAGGATGCATTCCAAGATCTTCGAGTCATGAAACAGCAACTTTCTCCTACTATAGTTTCAACATTACTGAATTTTCCCTTTTTATGTACTGGGAACAAGATAAACATGTACCTGTCTTCAGAAATTCTCTTGTCTCACTATATGACTTTAACAACTCTTCTCTTTTGGGTCTGTTTCACCCAAAACTTTCACACACCATCACTTCATCAGGTGCTGCAGCCTTGCCATTTCTCATTATCTGGATTGTATTTCTTATTTCCTTCCCCATGAAGTCAATCAGAAAAAAAACCATTGGGATCACATGCTATCAATACTGCAATAAAGAGACTGTTTTATATAAGATGCTCCCCAAATATTGTCTCCACCTCCTCTTTACATGTTCAGACTAGCAGTCTGCCCAGATATCATTTACAAATGATGTTGCAATCTCTTTGCATCCTCCTACCCTTTCTACCTCCATTCTGAAAACGGTATAGATATTTGGCCAGCCAGCCAGTAAATTACAAACTTGTTTAGGGCACTTTTGTATTCTTCGCTGCCCATTTGCCAGCTTGTTTTGCTTCTTTGTATTCTTTTTCATTTTGAATTGATAGTGGTTCATTTTTCTATTTATTTATGCACCATTTTCTTGTTTCAGATTGATATCTTGTTTTGGAAGAGTAACCTCAAAACATCATTTTAATAGTTTAGTAGGATAGTGGGAACATTAATTTTAAATAAGGGGCTCTTCTGTGTGGTTTGCCCTACTAAACAAAATGTAACTAATGCCTATCATCTGTCTACTTAGTGTTATCTCCTATTTCTTAAACAAATCTAGGACTGCTATGTTAAGCACAGGGCCACACACAGATATCCTAAGACTCAACATAGGTACCATCTTGCTTCAAGCTGGTAAGAAATGCTATTGAATTTTTCTCTTGCCTCAAATGGATTTTGGATTAAGATCTCGGTAACATTGCTTAATCAATTCTTTAAATAGAAAATTGAGATATAGTAACACAGGAATTGCTGTGCTGAAGCAGAAAAATAGTCTTATCTAATCCAAAAGGCTGCCTCAGACCTTATAATGCTGTTTGCTTGAGAGGAAAGCATAATTTCCCCATAAGTCACCCAATTGTGCAACATTGTACCATGAAAAGAACATTTCTTCCTGCACCCAGCAACCAATCAGTTTGTGCCAAGAAACATGAAGAGTCTTCATCTTTGTCAATTAAATTCTAGAGAATGTAACTGCGTGGGCTCTCTGTGTTTATATTAATATCTAACTGTGCACTAGCTCTTTGGGCCTCTGAAAAGGTCCTGTTCTTTTTGTTCCATTTCCTTCTCTACCTTCTGAACCAAAGAAAATAAAAACATGCTGTACACCTCAGGACACAAAGGTTCCAATTTAAAATGTAAGAGTCTCAGAGTCTGGAAAAAAATCACAGATAATAATAAGAGAGCTCCTGGTAATATAAATAATAAAAGAATAAAAAACAAAAGCAGAAACAAAAGTTATACAACCATGTCCTCCTTTGGAAAAACCCCCAGCAGTCACATACTTTTGGCAATAAGAGATCCAAAAACAGACTGATGAAACTTGCATATTATGTGAATCACAGTGTTAGGTAATTTAAGTTATAGAAAACCCTCCCTTTAATTCTGTAGTGTTAGGAACAAAGTGACCAACTGTTCCTCATTTTCGAAGAACTATCAGGTTTTTTATGCATAATGTGGCTTATCCCAGAAAAAATATTAATCCAAGGAATGAATGATTTTTTGCAACAGGGCATGGAAATGAGGATAAAAACGACATAACAGGTTTTAGAGTGACAAAGAAGATGAGGTAATGTCTTACATTGGACTAAGTGATAACTTTCTTTGATAAGATAATAAGTCTTGTGAAGAAGGGAAAAGTGTTCGACATGGTATACCTAGACTTTAGTAAAGCATTTGATGCGGTCTCTCATGAACTGCTTATTAATAAACTAGGAAAATACAATCTAGATGCGATATAAAGTAGATGCATAACTGGCTAGATAACCGTTCTCAGAAAGTAATTATTAATAGCTTAAAATCATGCTGGAAGGGCTTAACAAGTGGGTTTCTGCAAGGGTCTATTTTGGGACTGTTACTGTTCAATATCTTCATCAATAATTTAGATGATAGCATAAAGATAATTAAGTTTGCAGATAATACCAAACTGGGAGGGGTTGCAAGTGCTTTGGAAGATAGGGTCATAATTCAAAAAGATCTGGGCAAACTTGAGAAATGGTCTGAGGTAAACAAGATTAAGTTTAATAAGGTTCAATGCAAAGTCCTCCTTTTATGCAGAAACAATCAGTTTCATGCATACAGAATAGGAATGTCTAGGAAGGAGCACTGCAGAAAGTGATCTGGGGGGTCATAGTTGACCACAAACTAAACATGGGTCAGCAATGTGACACTGTTACAAAAAAGCAAACAAGGGTGCATTAACAGGAATGTTGTGAGCAAGACATGAGAAGTAATTCTTCTGCTCTACTCTGCACTGATTAGGCCTCACTTGGGGAATTGTGTCCAGTTCTGGGCACCATATTTCAAGAAAGATGTGGAGAAACTGGAGAAGGTCCAGAGAAGAGCAACAGAAATGATTAAAGGTCTAGAAAACATGACCTATGGAGAAAGACTGAAAGAACTGGGCTTGTTTAGTTTAGAAAAAGAGAAGATCAAGAGGGGACATAATAGCAGTTTTCAAGTATCTAAAAGGGTGTTACAATGAGGAGGGAGAAAAATTGTTCTCCTTGGCCTCTGAGGATAGGACAAGAAGTAATGTGCTTAAAATGCAGCAAGGGAAGTTTAGGTTGGAGATTAGGAAAAACTTCCTAACTGTCAGGGTGGTTAAACACTGAAATTGCCTCTGGAGGTTGTGGAATTTCCATCACTGGAGATATTTAAGAACAGGTTTGATAGACATCTATCAGTGATGATCTAGGGTATGTCTAGACTACCGCGTTTTGTCGACGGAAGTTTTGTCGACAGATACTGTCGACAAAACTTCCATCGACAATTTGCGTCCAGACACATGGAGTTCTGTCGACAAAGCAAGCCGCTTTGTCGACAGAACTCCGTAGTCTGGACGCAGTGTTACAGGCAATAACACCTTCTGTCGACAGAGTTCTGTCGACAGAAAGTGTTATGCCTCGTAAAATGAGGTATACCAGCGTCGACAAAACTGCGGA